CTGTTCACAGAAATTGAGAACAAAAGTGATAAAAGATGGACTCATGACCATCATCCTCCAGTTTCACTAGGTTTATTCTAGACTTTCCCAGTCTTCATGCCCCCTCTTTCAGAACTTGAGACATCTCTAGTGGTTTCTACCTCACTCTTTGGCCCTCAGTGATGTTTCTCAGAAAGCCTTTTTCTTCTGACAGGTCAAGTAAGCTTCACCCTCTGACAGTCTGAAGCTTTTGCTGACAAGCAGAAAGCTGAAATCATTTGAGTTATAGAATAAGCATCACATATTTGTTTAGGAAGGACCAATCTTGGTGTTACTGTGTTTCAAGGCTGTAATAAACATCTTACACTCTGTACGTATTCCAGAGTCTCTGGCTTGATGGTAAGAACCAAAGGCTCCTTTCAGTGCTGGCTGAATTCCCACTGAGAGCAGGCTTAGGTAGACTGACAGGAGGTTTCCCAGAGTAATGAAGATAAAAATAAGGCTCCCGTATTTCGAAGGTGCTTTTTTACATAAATATGCATATGTACTTGTATATAAATTCCCCCTGCTGCAGAGACAGGTGTGTCACACTGCAGTTATTGCACAATGATTACAGAGCTGGCATATAACCTCATTTGGACTGTTGGAAAGCACAGGAGCTACACAAAGTTGCAGAATTTCTTTGGAGCTATTTCATAATCATGTACACAGCTGGTATATCTATGTATATGCATTTTTTATTGTGAAATACAGATAAAATCAGTAAGAGGGGGCATTAAAGGATAAGTCACAAGACAGCTGCACCTGATAATGTCAAAATAGTAGCAACTCCAAACTAAGGATGCTCCAAGCGACAATAATGCGTGACCCTGTGCCAATACACAGTAGGGCAGATGAAAACAACTTGTTCCCGAGCTGCTATTGGGGATCTGCTGTGTTTATCTATTTGGCCCACATGTGGCTGTGTCTTCTAGCACTGACAGCTCCTGCAGGTTGGCAGCTTTTCAAAAGCTTGTCAGCCCCTGATAGCATTCCTATTCCTGCAGAGCTGGGCGGGTCGCACCGTGAATTACAAAGTGATAATAGCGCTGACATCTAACTCCGCTTGCACTGGCAGAGAGCACTGGACTCAGGAGAAAGGTGCACCATTTCTCCACAGCTATTTCATAAGTGTTTACCCAGATGAGACATTTTGTGAGAACAGTATTTAGCATTTATTTAGCATAAGGAATAAAATAGCAAAGACTTTAGGCAAACTCACAAGAAAGTTCTATGTATCAAAGTAATCTTTCCAGCAGTATCCCAAAGTTTAGGATTTCTATAGAATTTCTTCTCCACCTTTTCAGACTCTTTTGCTACTGTGTTTGTTTGTTTGTTTTACACTGCACTGCTTCTGGTTGTCTTCAGATTTATTGTCAGCGCTTGTAATGCCCAGATACATGTAAGTTGCTGCTCCTTTCTGCTTTCTTTTGCTGAACATCTTTATTTTACTCATAGGAAGGAACTACAAATCTTCCAGTTTGCAAACAGCTTGCAACACTTGTCAGGCTTCTAAGGATCTTTCAAAAAAAGACTTGATAATGCTATTCCTGCCATAGGAGCTGGAGGCCTCTATGCAGGAAAACTTCACAGAAATTATATCTCTGCTATGAAGGATTATTATCCTTTGCTAAGCTTTAGGTATTTGTGGAGTGCAACCATTTTAGCTTTCTGCATTTGTCTTTCATTCCTGAGGACCCTGCTACTATATTAGGGTATTTACTGTTGGTTTATAATGAGGTTTGCAAGCACTGGAAACTGGATGACTTTTTTTCAAGCTGTCACTTAAGGAAGTTTTCAACCAATTACACAACAAATTGAATAAAAACTACAATGATTTAAGAAACTAGAACTCCAGAAGAACTACTGATTTATTTCACCAGGAAAAATACACCAGGAAATAAAGCCATTACTTAATATATTTAAGTTAAATTAACTAATTTAGGTAAACAATTAGGTTGCAAAAAGGAAGTTATTAAATGAGATGGATATATATATAGGCTAGACCAGGGAGCAGGATACAATTCTCTGGATGTTTCTTTGGATACTATTCCAGAAATGTCTTAATATAGAGCATCAGATCCTACAATATAATCTTGCCAAGTAATTATATCCACAGATGAGGTTTTTCTGAGAGCAAATTGTTGGGGATTCTGACTTGGCTTTTTGAGGTATCAGTAGCTCCTAATATAATAAATAACCGAAATTGAGAGCTTTTTTAACGTAATATGAACCTACTCGGCACAGAGCATTCTGCAGTTCATGTTCAGTTTTGTTTTAGAGAAAGAAAATCCCAAACTATGCACAATAGTGCATTCCAGTTTCAAAGCTCTTAAATCTCTCTTACGCCCTCAGCTCTCTGTCTTTTCATCCCTCTTCCTCAAAGTCATTAATAAACACATCACTCATAGGCAGAAACTTAACATTCTAATTAATTGCTTCTCATTTTAGTGGCTGTATATACATAGATCTTTTATTTTTTTTTCCAGATGACTCTTACTCCAAATGAGTACAAAGGACACACTTTGTAGTCCCAACATGTGTGGTTTCCTCACACTGGGAAAGCCTGGACGGGAGCCGCCTGGCCCGGTGCCAACCCAAACCACCCTCAGCCTAAACACAGCACCGGCAAATGCTACTTTCTGACACTTCGCTGCTACCGGAGAGGATCCTTTAGCATTGAAAAATCCTCAGTGACTGAGATTTATACATAGCCTCGCACACAACTTCCTTCATCTCATCTCTTCCCTCCCCAAATGATTTTCCATCAGCCTGGCACAGCGGAACCAAAGAGAAACACTTGTGTGATGCCATCTAATGCTATGTGGGCATTCACCTGAGAGGATAAGTTTATAAAGTTGCTGAATGCCCATGGAGATATTGGAAATCAGCACACCAAGTTGCTTTGCAGAGCTTTTCAGTCAGTTTTAGTAGTTTGAATACATTTTTCCTCAGTGTTTCGTCTGAAAAGTTAAAAATTACCTTAATGAAGAAGTAAAAGTATTTGAACCTGCAGACAATCATTTCTTTAGTCCAGATATGCAAGTGGTTATGAGTTTTATTCCCTTTCTTCAGGTTACCACAGATATGTAGGCACACATTCTTGATTCAGCTTACCAAATGCAAATTTCCATTCCAATATGAAGTGAGTCTGCTCTACAATATCGATATTAAATGGCATTGTCTGATTGCACGCCAGTTCTCCTGGCTCAGCCTGAGTTCTGCCCATCCTGGAAAGCACAACATCCATAATGATCAGAGGTGGTTTGGCTAAAGGGAAAATGCTACCCGCTTGGAGGATCATGCAGGGTGCTCCTGCCTCCAGAAGGTTTTGAACTTATCAAACCCCACTGACCGTAACGGAAGGTGACAGCACTTAGCATCGCTCAGGAGGTAAGCAGCATCCCGCAGAAACAGGAATGTGCTTTTCACACAAACAAAATTTGTTTTCTACAGAAAGCCTCTGCCAGAAATCAATCTGTAGTCTGAAAATCTGCAATATGAATAATGCAGTTGTTAATGCAATATCCTGAGGAGGTGCTGGGTTTTGAGTAAGCTACTGAGAAGGCAGACACAGGTTAAGTGATTGATGAAGTGTCCTAGGGAATAGATTTCCTGAAATGCTCCAAATCTGAGTTTTTGGAGCACTACAGAAGTCAAAATAAGATATTCAGCCTGGTACTGTATTTCTTCTATATAACGACAACAAGTGTTGCGTTTAAACATGTAGGGCAAAATGTGTCTCCTGTAACACCTGCTGAGCTCCTGTGCTGCAGTTACATTAATTCAGGGTCAGTTATGTCTTCAGAGCTGACAGCAGAATACAGTAATTTAAAAGCTGCTTCTGCTGCCTAAAGAAAATATCACGCAAATTTAAATTTTCTTCACTACGTAGCATATCTGGAACAAGCAGCAAAACAGGTTTCATGTGTGTTCCTTTGCAAACATCTGTTTTTTCCACATAGAAGTCAACTGTGCTTATGAAAGCTTCCGTTCATCATGTCTGCTGGAAATGCTGAAGGCTAAATTTCCCTCTTATTATCTGGACTTAACACATTGTCACAGGACATGGGAAAGGGAGTACGGCAGATCCCAGTGGATGCTTCTCCTATCACTGGTAATTCTAAATATTAATACAAATGTTAACATCAAATTTCCACTAACCATTTTAGTACAATTTAAATCATCCAAATTGCACCTGCTCTGTTAAATCATAGAAGCATAGAATCAATCACAGAATCATAGAATCATAGAAGGTGTTGGGCTGGAACGACTTTTAAAGGTCATCTAGTCCAACCCCCCTGCCATGAGAAGACTCAGAGCTCCATCCAGCCTGACCTTGAATGCATCCAAGGATGGAGCCTCCACCACCTCTCTGGGCAACCTATTCCAATACTTCACCACCCTCATTGTAAATAACTTTTTTCTAATATCTAATCTAAATCTTCCCTGCTCTAGTTTAAAACTATTTTCCCTTGTCATGTCATTACACACCTTTGTGAACAGTCCCTCACCAGCTTTCACATAGGCCCCCTTCAGGTACTGGAAGACTGCCATAAGGTATACCCAGAGTCTTGTCTTCTCCAGTCTGAACAACTCCAACTCTCTCAGCCTGTAATCACAGTGATGTCAAGAGACAAGGAAAGAGCTGCCTTCAGTTTACCTTCTTTCAAATGCTTTTATTTAAGGAAGGTGACCATGACCAACAGAAATTAAGAAGCACTCTAAGCTGCATATTTGCCTGTTTACTCATATTTTGATGCTACTTTCATGCATCCCAGAGTTCCTCCATGTAGTTGACATCTTTCAGGACATTAGTCTCACAGGAGATCATACAGCATGAGAAATTCAATTGATGAAATATAATCTGTATAAGCACGGGAGATGAAATTATCAGATCCTGGTAGAGAGCATTGCACAATGAATCTGCCAGTTACACAAAACTGAACTTATGAGATGAACTCTGAGGAAAATAAACTGACCTTTTTTACATTTTTGTTTAAATCAACCAAGTTGAGCAGGAAGATGTGGTCTTTAGCCCCGATTAGCAGACGGCCCCTCTCCTCATCTAGCAGCAGGGTTCGAAAATCAAGCCCCTCTGTCGAGCCCAGGAATGGGATGCAGCTGTTTGAAAGCAGCAAGTCTGTGGGAACACGAAGAAAATCTTTATAATCAAAATGTTTACATATGACTCATCGGTGTCTTTTATAAATACATGCAACCAGCATGGAGTATGCCGGTGAGATAACTGCAGTCTAAGAGCATGTCTTTACAGGATCATAATACAGTTGCTCTTAACCTTGCTTTTTTTATTCTTTTGCTTTGAGGAGGGAGTTACTTCCAAATTGGGTAATATTTACTTTGATAAAACAATTTTCTGTATAAAATTTTCTTTAAATATTATGTCTATGACATAGAAGAATCACATTTTTCAACAAGAATTCTAAACAAAAAAGACATATATTTGCAAAATATGTGCTATACCTTTCCTTTGCTGCAAGAAAAGTAAGGTATGTTTACATCATCATACTCATGAATACATAACATCAGGGATCAATATCTCACCTATTTGGTGCTCTACATACAAAGCAGCAAATAAGGCAAATGCCAGCAAAGAATACTTAGGAATGGGAAAAAGTGGTTAGATATGGCAGATATCATAGGCTCAAAGCATGATTTCAGTCAGAAGGGACCTTCAAAGACCATCTAGTCCCACACCCCTGCCATGGATGGGGAGATCTTGAAGACACCCAATGGGGGGGCATCCACAACTTCTCTGGGCAACTTGTGGACTGTCTCACCACCTTCATTGTAAAAAAAATCTTATGTCCAATCTAAATTTATGCTCTTTCAGTTTAAAACCATTGCCCCTTGTCCTGTCACTATAGGACCTGGAAAAAAATCTGTCCATCTTTCCTATAAGATCCCTCTACAAAGTAAAACGCTGCAACATAGAGTAGCAGGGGACAAACATGTCCCTCCACCTGCTGTCCATGCTTCTTTTGGTGCAGACCAGGATGCAAATGGTTTTCTAGGCTGCAGACATACACTTCTGGCTCATATCCATTTTTTCATCCACCAGCATCCCAAGTTCTTCTGTATGGGGCAATTCTCAATATGCACATCATCCAGTGTGTATAGATATTGAGGATTACCTTGTCCCAAGTGCAAGACTTGGTCTTGTTGAACTTCACATGGTTTGCATGGGGCTCCTCTGCCAGCCTGCCAAGGGACCTTCAAGTATTTAGTCCAGCCAGATGAGGAATGACATCCCTTCCCTTAAGCATATCAACTGCAGCACTCAGCTTGGTGTCACCCACAGACTTTGTGGGGGTGCACTCCATCCCACTATCATAGAATCATAGAATCATAGAATAGTCAGGGTTGGAAGGGACCTTGAAGTTTATGTAGTTCCAACACTTCGCCATGGGCAGGGACATCCCCCACTAGATCAGGCTGCTCAGAGCCCCATCCAACTTGGTCTCAAAAACTTCCATGGACGGGGCTTCCCCCACCTCTCTGGGCAACGTGTTCCAGTGTCTCATCACCCCCATGGTGAAGAAATTCTTCCTAACGTCCAGTCTAAACCAATCCATCTCTAGCTTTAATCCATTCCCTCTAGTCTTATCACTATGTCACTGATAAAGATATTAAGTAGCATTAGTTCCAGTATGGACCCTCGGGGGATACCACTGGTTACTTGTTTCCACCTGGACATTAAGCTGTATATAAGGTTGAGAAGAACTGGAAGGAGGTAACAACCATAATGTGTATATAAAATTCGATATAAGGTTCAGTTCATGCATTGTTTAATATAAAGTTCTGGTGGCAGTATATACACTTGTTACAATTTTATTTACTATTATTTCAATTGAGAACTGAGATCTGAATCAACAACAATCAACTGCCTAGGAGACAGTACTGAAATGAAGGTAATATAGCGGCACATTAAGGGGAGCATCCAGTAGCAACATCTCTAAGATCCTGAGGTTTTTTCCTTTCCATACAGAGGTGGCAATGAGTTCCTGCACCCTTGCCCTCTCTGCAGAGGAAATTTTCCCTATTAAAAGCAGAAATTTGACACTTAGGTTTTATTGTAACTTAATAATGGCTTCCAATCTTTTTCAAAGGTAATTAAGAGAAACATGTTTCTCTATGAAAACCCATGCTCCTCCTGAAAAAAAGCTAGAAGCCTCTAAATTACAAATTCTGCAACCTTTTGTGGACATAATTCTGCATGAGGACACAAACAACATATAGAAAAGAGTACAATGAAAGCTTAGTCTTGTTTGGCAGTCATGAATTTGGGGAGAATGAACATAAACATGTGAATCAGCTCTTCCACAAGCATGCTCCCCAAACCAAACTATTCAGAAATTTATGGACAGAAAAGTAAGTTCTGTATTTAACTGAACATAAAATTTCAGGTATTTCTACCTCTCTAGCACTGGATGGACAATGTATCCCTCCTGCTAGAATCCTTCCTGGTAGCAAGGCTAGACTTATAGCACAAGCTATTTACCCTTCCTGATCATCATGAAAATCATGGCCAGTGTTTTGCAGAATACCTCCTGAACAAAATAAAGAGAAAAGAATAAAAAAAAAAAATCCAAACTTTTTTTCCATAAGGTCTCTCATAAAACATGTGACAGGCAAAATAAATATTAGTCTTATAGCTGTCTAATAAACAGCACTGTGGGAGAAAAATTTTATCATTATTAATCTGACTACCTGCTATATAATTATGACAATTACTTTTTGGCTCAGTCACTTCTACTTAAGCTCATGTGGTTTTGTCTGGCGCAATTCTGAATGTTGTTACTGTACAGTCTGAAAACAAATTGTCTTATATTGCAGCTCTTATTCCCCTAGGTGAGATTTATTTGGCAGTACTTCGAAAAAAGTCCTACTTGAGATTGAAAAATTAAATCCCATTAAGCACTACACTGCTTTACACCAGCACTGCTTTATTTTTTATGAAGACAAAGATGGCAGGGTTCTTTCTTTCTAAATTAGCCACACTTTAAAAGACCTGCTTATTTACTGACAGCAATATAACATAGGAATAACTTATGGTTAGTATGGTACTATAAAAATCTAAGTCCCATCCAAACCACTTCTTATGTTAGAGCTGGTTGATGAATAGCCTATCTGAAGAATAGTCAAGCCAGTGTAATAAATAAATACAAATTTTAAGAGTAAAAAGAAAAGCCCTGTAAAAACACAACCTCTGAAGATTAGCTCACTCCATTAGCATATTTTCACCCAACGAGAAATAAAGAGGCACTCCTCCTGACATTCGTTGTTACTGGGTTCTCTGATACAGGACAGCTACTTCCAGTGAAACTCTATTAATTTTTGTGTGTGACACATACATCTCTTCCTTAGACTTCATACTCTGTACAAACCTCTTCCCTTGTTTTTTTTGCCTGGAAATTCTTGGTACTGGATATGATGGAACTGTTTATTGGGAAAAGGTTCTCTGATGCTGATTACAGCACAGCAGGCATTTCTAGCTCCCTTGGGCTGCTCAAATTCTTCCCAGTTGATCTCTAAAATACTGTTTATCAGCTGAGCACTGCTGGAGCGAATAACTTCTGAGTAATTGTCTTTCCCTTCTCCACCCATGACATAAGAGCTGGCTGCATTACCAGATTATCTGATCTGTTGTATATAATAATAACTGTCTTATAAATTTTGCAGTCTAGTTTAAATCCCTGCTTAACAGTTCTATGTCCCAATTAGTAGAGAGGATGGAGGGAAGAACAGTAGAGAATCACAATAACTAGCAATGAGTCATTCCCAGGCATTAACATGAATAAACAGGAGAGAGGCATGAATTTCACAGGCTACTGTATTTCAGCAATCCATATCACCCTCTGTTTCTTTTAAATATCTGCTGATGACAAGCTTCCAGTCATACCACAGTGGTCGCCTGTGGGACATTTGTAATTAAGATGCAGAATATGAGGGAAAATTCCTTCTCATCTCCAGCCACAGGAATTAGATCTGAGTAAGCATAAATGATACTTTTGTGTAAATATTCTGAAGCACTTCCAGCACTTAGAGTCATGCAATCCATGGGCCTTTGCAAGTGTGCCACTTGCCAAAATAAGTAGACCTGATTCTCCACATACCTGAAAGAAGATGACTAAGACTGTTCTCCACTTCCTATTTCTTACTTACTTGGAAGGAAGAATCTCTGCAGTGACCATCTCAAAAGGACATTTGTGATCTATTGCTTAACACTTCTAGAATTTCTCAGTAAAGAACCACCTAGGACAGCTACAACAGGGAGGGAAGAAGTTGTCTCATGACTGAAACACCCAAATGGGAATGAGCCCTGCCTGGTGCCTTGTACAATCATTAATTTCACTGCATCATAAGGAAAACATCTGTGAAATTTTCCAGATTGAAATGACAGCATTGCACACTGATTTCTTACCGACACCAATGACTACACAATTTGGAAGTGGTGAAGAACCAGGTTTGGTCAGTTATTCACTAACTATTGAAAAAAGCTTGGAAATAAGACTCTGAACATGGCCTCTGATAAGATTAAAACTGAAATATGACCCAACAAAATTTCTCAAGTAAACATTAACAGAGAATTGATTAAATTGTGGCCAAATTAATCATTATTCACACATCTTAAAGCAAAACAATCCAGTCTTACGGGTGGAAATTGTCCTTCACAGTGAGATATATTTAATATTACCAAGGTTATTATACTAGAAAAATTTACTACAAAAAGCACATTTGTCCAATGGTTTTCAAGCTCAGAGCTTAGAGAAAGCTGTTGATTTGGATCACTACATCTCTGTAGGCATGCTGATATAGAAACAGCATTCTCACAATGTACAGAAACAAAGTTAGTTACAGAGATGTTCAGCACTCAGTTTATACTACATATTTGCTGTTTTACTGAAAATCAAGTAATTTTTCCAGTCTAGTGATTAAATGAATATTCACCAAACTCCCTTTCTGAGTTAATATTTCACTGTCGAGTGGTAGAAGCTGGAATATTCACCAAACTCCCTTTCTAGGTTAATATTTCACTGCTGAGTGGTAGAAGCTGAAATAGCTTCTGGTTTTTACTCATTTAGAAAAGCATCTCAGTGGACTTGGCTCACAACGGCACAA